TTGATTGGCCAAATTTGGGGCATGTGACCAAGCACAAGTCTTGAAGATAAAGTGTAGAAATATCAAACTGATGGAAAGATTAACATATAATTCAGGTGACAACACTCTGTTGGAATGCATAATAGCGACACATGTACATGTATTGTGTTTACCCGTCATCGTTGCCAACTGCACACACCGTACCATCAGGTTTCCACGACACTTCACTTCTCTGAGGTACTTTGTGCTGAAAAAATAAAAAACATTGTATGATACTACAAGTACAGTAAAAAGCAAACTGTTAGTGAAACATTTTGTCCATTCTTATCTATTTCTCAATAATTATATTGTGTATTTTGTATCAAAAAGACAATTTCCATTTGTTTACAATGAACATTTTTGAAACAAAATTATGCATATACAATTTCATGAAAGACAACCTAAATAGACTCCAGTAAAACTTACTTTTATATTGTTAGTTTTCCTAATGACAGAATTGATATCAATAGCATCATCGGCCAGTCTATACGGATTATGTTGTAGTATGATACCCTCACCACCACAACTATACACACAGTGACTAGGGGAAGATTTGTTGTCTGTAGAAGAGCATGTACATTTGTGAGTACAGTTGCATGCACACATAGTATCGGATTCTGCTGTAAATTCGCCCATCTGAAAAGTCGCCCTGGACGATTTCACGGCTGGTGGGCGCTTATTTGGGGTTCAAAATTTCAAAAAATAATCATGAAATATTTTTTGGGGACTTCTATTTTCATTGAAAAATTCAACTACACCGACTTTCAATGCCGGCAGTTGGGCCACCCAAGACGAAAAGAAACTATTGCAGAAGCAAGTCTAAAATTTGATACATTTTTTAAAAATCAAAACTGCCTGGGCAAATTTACGACAGAATCCTGTATGGGTCAAGGTTTTCATGCATCCTCATAACCTCGTAACAAATCTTCCTGATCTTACTGCTTGGTGAATAAACCTCAGAATTGAGTAAAAAAAAAAAAAAAAGTGTAAATTATTGGAACTTCACGATCTTTGTTTTAAAACAAGCACGCCATCTTGAAATATCACAATTGTTTTAATATTTGGAATTTCCATTTCCAAATAAAGTAGGAACCAAGTTCAAAAGCACAAAATAATATTTTTAAACAACTACTAATTGATGAATTTGATGTTGCGTCATCAATAGAGTAAACCTACCTATTGGAGGGCAAGGAGGACCCCAGTCTACACAGTACACAGTCCTTTTATGGTAGGAATTGGACACACTAGCAGGTCTGCAAAACAATACAATAGTGATTTATTACATCATTATGGACAACACCATTATGCAATATAATAGTTGAAAGATACTGGTTTAAAATCTGATATGTGTGTGCTGGATAACCCATGGGTATCTCTCCCATGATGACCTACATGTACTTTTTTTACCAATCAATGACCAGTTTAGTGTGGGGGTTCTTTCCCTAGATGACATGTGTTTGCTTCCCTCCCTGGAAAACACATATGGAAAGGTTTCCCTTTCTAGATAAAATGTGTGGAATTCCTTTCCCTGGATAATGTGTGTGGGGTTCCTTCCCAGAATAACATGTGTGAAATTCCTTCCCTGGATAATGTGTGGGGTTCCTTACCAGAATAACATGTGTGGAACCCCCTCCCTGCATAACATTTATGTGGTTCCCACCCAAAATAACATGTGTGGGCTTCCCGCTGGATAACAAGCGTGATTCCCAAGCTAAAGACTAGAGGCCTTCCTCTCTGGATGAGACAAGGATTCCCCTCATGATGGATGACATGCGGGCAGCAATGAGAGTGAACTACCAAACTCTATAACCTACTTCTGTGAGAATACATCATGTATACCAACTCTACCATCATCTGTACCATATGCTAGATGACCTTCTCGGAATGGATGCCATGATAACTGCAAAATACAGAAATGTTTTGAATCTGTATCTATACTTCAATAAGGCAAACTCTGAAACTGAAAAACCAGATTCAGGATTATCCAGAACCTTACTTATACTTCATTTTAGAGACAATGAAAGACAACCTTTATCATGATGGTCGTCCATTATAAGATAAATTATGGTAATTATTCACTAGGTTTTAAATTCTCTATTTTTGCTGACAAATTAAATCCATGTGGGCATGTAAATTAAATAGAACTTATTGTTTCACTGAGAAATCAATTAATTTAAAACCCAATAGATCAGATCAAATATCAAAATAGCGAAATGTCCTTAAGTAATAAAGTAACCACCAATTACTTACAGCTGTGACCTTTGACCTAATTCCCTGCCATATCACAGTGACATCATATGTGTTTGATGGTGATGATGTATTCCAGATACGTATCATATTATCCCCAACACCTACAGCGAGCCTGCCCGGGTCGATAGGTGATGCCACAATGGTGTATACAAACCCACCCAATGTTGGTATTGTGCTCACTGCTCGGCAGCTTTTGAGATTCCACAAAATAATCTGTAAAGAATTAGAAGATGAATTTCAGCAGGATCAATGTGAAAGGTTAGTTTGAATTTGATGAATATTGCAAATTTATATTACCATAGCTAATTTGTTTTTCAAAACCAGGTTAGTAAAGCATGTTGAGACAGACAGACAAACAAACAAACTGAGGGATGGACAGATGGGCGGAAAGACTGATGGACAGATGGGTGGAAAGACTGATGGACAGATGGGCGGAAAGACAGACAGGATCAGAAATTATTAAGTAAATTTTCCGCAAATAAAATTAATACAAACAGTTTTTCTGTAATTTACTCAAAACTGAATGTGTAACTGACATGAATCACTTAGTTTTTGATATTCAGCATATATGATATATCAGTAAGAGCTCTGTTCCTCCATTTTCAAAAATACCTGTCTATCCATGGACACTGTTACTATAGTATTCAGTGCTGCATCACCACCCGGTACGATATTAAATACAATCCGGTTATGACCTTTGCCATCACTCTGTCCTAGCAGTTTCCATTTCTGCTTTCCAGGTTTACATAAATCCCACATCAACAAGTCACCTCTAGAAAGTAATTAGGAAGAAAACAGTTTAGAAAACAAATTTGGCAAATTCCAAAATCATTTTAAACTGATTAAATTGGTTGGTCTATATTGTACAAGGAGTCAAAAGTATTAATAATACAAGAAACTCATGAAACTGTCATTTCCATGGAAATAATCTCCATTTTTATATAAATTTTTCACCATTTAATGGTAAACCGCCTTATAGTGTAATAGTATTTACACGTTTTACGAGAGCAATATAGCATATGTTAACGCAATTACCCATGAGAGCTGGACAGTAGTTCTCGGGGTTTGTTCTTAGGCCAGTAAAGAGTCAACCAGACTCTAGATTTCCCAGTGTCTTCCATTTTGCCTTTGAAACCGCTGGCTTTTGAAGGAAGTTTCAGTGTTAGCACAGCTTTTCCTTTAGACGTACTCCATAGTCTAATGGTTCTATCTCGACTTCCAGAAGCCAGTAAACAACCATCAGTGGATGAAGGAATTTCATTTCCCAATTCTTCTTCTGAAGAATAAAACAGGATAGGCTGTGTATTTTGAAAATGAATGGCAGCTAAAAATGGCTCACCTAAACACAGTAATGTAAGCGAATATGAGAGCTGTGCTATTAACATTAATTGGGGATTGATAAGGGTGAGTGAAGTGGTCATTCACCTAAGAAAGAAAGATCTGAAGAAAATATATTGTGTTCTAATCATTGTAAATGACATGCCGCATTTCCTCTACTAGAAGCACAACACCAACAACTGCATTTATTGTATTCACAATTATTAAAATATGACTTATTTTTACTGAATACATATACAAACAGAGCAAACACGATAGTACCTGAGATGAGGCTTAATCAAAAATAAAAGTGAAAAATAAGGTTAATGACTCTCTCACACACAGTATACATCTCCTCAATACCTGACTGATCATCAACTGCCCCTTCACCATTTCCTGCTTCTTTTTTCTTTCCTTTTTTCTGTCTGATGTCTTCTCCCAGAGTTGGTGCCCATGACAATGAGTGAACTTCATCATCATGACCTCTCAATTTGTGTATTACACATCCCCTGTTCTTAATGTCAATTATCAATATATTACCGAGTTTGTACCTGAAATTAAGACAAAAAAAAATGCATATCATAATATTAAATGATACCCTAATGTACAATGTCTTTAAGCATCACCTGCATGATTGATTCAGAATAGGCACACAAATTATATGCACTTGCATACATCTAAATTTTCTGTTAAAACAGATAAAAAAAAATTATGTACTTCATGCAATTTTTCTGCTTTTGAGAACGTCCTATAATCCCTGAATATCAATAGAAGACATACTGTACTCTACAGCATGATAGCGGACATTAAAGCTGAATTCGGAAACATTTTTTTTTTTTTTTTTCATCAATGGAAGACTTACCCAACGGCAAGAAATTGGACATTATGTGGACTGCAGGCCAAACTGAATATGTGGCCATTCTCTGGAAAAAACTGTTTTGTATCTCCACTCACGTAATTCCATTGTATTATTACACCCGTCTCATCAAAGGTGTAAATGAAGATGTTTATCAACACCTGACCAGTCGATGGCTGTAATCTTTGACTGGGAAAAAGAAAGATAGAATTGATAAAATGGGAGGTGGAAAATATGCATGTATGATGAAAGTGTACGAGTCCGGGATTCTTAAATAATATGTAGCAGGCAATTTCTAGCGAGCGAATGCTGTCGAGTTGTTTATTGAGAGTTATTAAGAGTTTGAAAATGGTAAATTTCTGGTCAATCATCTTCGCTAGCCAAGGTCTGAGTTTATTCGGCAAAGCCTCTAAACAGACCTTGGCAGAATGACCATCAAATATGCATATTCTAACAGCGCCCCCAGTAGTCAGTTGCGGCTAATCATTGTCCAATCAGTCAAATACCCCTTTGGCTTTTAATTTTAAACAAAATGGCGGCGCCCATGAATCGTGCTATTTGTGATAATAAAATTGCGAAAGTTTTCGGTGTTGGTGCCTTCAAGTCTCATCAGGTACAGGCAATCAATGCAGTTTTGTGTGGAGGATGTCTTCATAGCGACAAACACAAGAAGTGGAATTTTGTTTTATAATTTGGTACGTCCAAGCTGATTGGGCGCCTTGTTTCAAGGCATGCCCAATCAGATCTCACTGCTTCAGATACGCAATTAGCCTATGCGATCCCGCTCGGTATCGTGTAGAGGCCTATAGGCCAAATACACGAAACCGTGCAATTCGGACGATGCTGGTCAATGGGCAGTGGCATTTTGTTTGTTTCACACATTTTGTGAAGCGAGACAGCCAATTCATGGTGAAGCATCTACAGAATTATGTTCAATGATGAGGCAATTTTATTCCGGCAATGGACTGAAAATAGTTCAACTTTGAATAGATTTTTGTGCCATTTTGATAAGCAATAACATACAAATTATGCGTGGCACTACACGTACATCTATCTTGAATTCCACTCAACTGAGCATGAACTAATAACTGAACATTTGCAGTTCACATGTTACGGCTTTCTTTGGTTACATCAGTTCTATATTTAATAAATCAATAGACTACTTGGCTGCACTCGCTCACCAGGCATATTACATGTACATTATTCAATATTGTATACATGTATGACAGAAAAATAAAAGGCAGAGCTCCAGAAGGAGTACCTACACTTTATGCAAATTTTTTAAAATTATGCTAATTTATTCATGACGTAGCAGTTTCTGTGCTCATGAATATTCATTAATTTGTGGCTCAATACATTTTAAAAGGGGCGATATATTATTTTTGGGGGAAGAGTTAGAAAGGGGGATTAGCAATCCTTAGGGGGTCAATACAAAAGAAGGGACCCATTTGGAGAGCAGCCATGCTCCTCGTGTCTGTTGTTGCACGCGACCTACAGCTGTCAACTGTGTTCGTTCTTCGACTGTGTTCGTTCTTCGACGACTTCGGCTGGCTTCCACGTGGGGTAGTATCTT